TGAAGAAGTCAGGAGAGCACAATGGCTGAAATGTGATAATAGCAACCAAGATAAGGATATTAGTCCAACTGTAAATAAAGAATATCAAGTTTTACTTCACGAGATCACTAAAAAAAGAGCATAGCATGATGAAAAAGATGCCAAACTTGACGAAAACAAAATTTTATTGTCTAAATGCTTGTTATTATTAAGAGGAAAGATCAAAGTATTTACATTTTTTAATCGTTCCTAGCACGTCCGAAATTTTTGTTAAGAATATTGTTTTTTTTTTGAGTCAGCAAAAATTTTTTCCATTTTATTAAAAAAAACTGGAAATCTCACTTTGAAATTCTTTTAAATATCAATTATCATTTTTTCAATTAAAAACCAAAAAAAAACATGATTTGCATACTTCAAAGCCTTGTGCTTTTAACTATTGTAATCATTAAACTAGACTCTATCGAATTTCTAGTGTTTTCATAAAATTAGTTATGAGGGGGGTAATAAATATAAAAAAAATATTTCTGCCATGACTTTAATAAAAAAAAAAAAACATATTTATAATAATTTCGATCATCTGTGAATAGTTCCTGAAAGTTTCATTAACATCCGACAATTATTTATATTTTTGCATGATTTTCCAAATTAATGTGTGTCATACCAAAAAAACGTGCTAAAAATTGTCTGTTATTTACTTGTTCCACTGATACAAAGAGAAACAAGGTTTTTTTTAATCAAAATTTAGAATGTTCTAAAAAGAAGGAAAAATTTTTTAAAATTAAAAGTTTGGTCTTTCCTCTTAATAATAACATAAGCATTTAGATGATAAAATTTTGTTTTTGGCAAGGTTGGTGTCTTTTTCATCAAGCTATGCTCTTTTTTAGCAATTTTGTGGAGGTACCTAGTTTTACTTCAGAGAGAACTGTTCTCAAGATATTTTTATCTAATGAAAACCTTTACTATCTGTCTATATTTTTGAGATGAGATATTGCAATTATTTACATTAGCCTCACCTCCATTCTATATTCACAATGTTTCAACCATGGAATGGTGATTGGAATTTTGAACTGAACCCTTTATTTAGTAGATTGTTCAAGTTCCACATGCCATGCCTCCTAGAGATGTCTTCATTATCACCTTTGAACTCAACTCTCTAAGTTTTTGTTCATCACTGCAGTAGCCAGGTATTGAACTCACAATTCTTAAGTCACTGGGTCCAGCAATGCTTCTATCAACTGGTGAATGAAATAAAGGGTACATTTCGAAATTCCAATCACCTGAAGAAGGCTGGAGCGTATAATAGGTGAAAAGTCATGAATATGACAATAAAGATGAGAACAACAGTTCGAACAATATAAATAATGGAAACCTTGTATGAAATATTAAAAAAAATTCACAATATTTGCAAATGTGATTCTGAGCAGCAGTTTGGTATTAGGATTTTTGTTTGAATTTCTTTCTTCTGGCTAAACCATTGCTTTAAAGAGACAAACAAAAGCAAAAAAATGAATAGTTTGAAAAAAATCAGAATTAAGTCCCCCAAAAATGTGGTGAATTCATTTTGTGACTCTCTCTCTCTCTTTTTTTTTTTCTCTCTTTTTTTTTTTCTCTCTCTCTCTTTTTTTTTTTTTTTTCTCTCTCTCTTTGTTTTTTTTTTTCCTCTCTCTCTCTTTGTTTTTTTTTTTTTCTCTCTCTTTGGTTTTTTTTTTTTTCTCTCTCTTTGGTTTTTTTTCTCTCTCTTTTTTTTTTTTTTCTCTCTCTCTTTTTGGTTTTTTTTTTTTTCTTTCTTTTTTTTTTTTCTCTTTTGTTTTTTTTTTTCTCTCTCTCTTTGGTTTTTTTTTCTCTCTCTTTTTTTTTTTTTTTTCTCTCTCTTTTTTTTTTTCTCTCTCTCTTTGGTTTTTTTTTCTCTCTCTTTGGTTTTTTTTTCTCTCTCTCTTTTTTTTTTTCTCTCTCTCTTTGGTTTTTTTTTTCTCTCTCTCTTTGGTTTTTTTTTTCTCTCTCTTTTGGTTTTTTTTTTTCTCTCTCTTTTGGTTTTTTTTTCTCTCTCTCTTTTTTTTTTTTTTTTCTCTCTCTCTTTGGTTTTTTTTTCTCTCTCTTTTTTTTTTTTTCTCTCTCTTGTTTTTCTTTCTCTTTTTTTTTTTTCTCTCTTTGGGTTTTTTTTTTTTTCCTCTCTCTCTTTGGGTTTTTTTTTTTCTCTCTCTCTTTGGTTTTTTTTTCTCTCTCTTTTTTTTTTTTTCTCTCTCTTTGGTTTTTTTTTTTCTCTCTTTGGTTTTTTTTTTTCTCTCTCTCTTTGGTTTTTTTCCTCTCTCTCTTTTTTTTTTTTTTTCTCTCTCTCTTTTTTTTTTTTTTCTCTCTCTTTGGTTTTTTTTTTCTCTCTCTTTTTTTTTTTTTTTTTCTCTCTTTCTTTTTTTTTTTTTTCTCTCTCTTTTTTTTTTTTTTTTCTCTCTCTCTTTTTTTTTTTTTTTTTTTCTCTCTCTTTTTTTTTTTTTCTCTCTCTCTTTGGTTTTTTTTTCCTTTTCTCTCTTCTTTTTTTTTTTTTCTCTCTCTCTTTGGTTTTTTTTTTTGAAATCTCTCTTTGGTTTTTTTTCTCTCTCTTTTTTTTTTTTTCTCTCTCTTTTGGTTTTTTTTTCTCTCTCTCTTGGTTTTTTTTTTTCTCTCTCTCTCTTTGGTTTTTTTTTTTCTCTCTCTCTTTTTTTTTTTTTTTTTTCTCTTTCTTTTTTTTTTTTTCTCTCTCTCTCTTTTTTTTTTTTTTTCTCTCTCTTTTTTTTTTTTTTTCTTTCTTTTTTTTTTTTCCTCTCTTTCTTTTTTTTTTTTTCTCTTCTCTTTTTTTCTCTCTCTCTTTGGTTTTTTTTTCTCTCTCTCTCTCTTTCTTTTTTTTTTTTTTTTTTTTCTCTCTCTTTGGTTTTTTTTTTTCTCTCTCTTTTTTTTTTTTTTTTTTCTCTCTTTATTTTTTTTTTTTTTTTCTCTCTTTCTTTTTTTTTTTTTCTCTCTCTCTTTCTTTGGTTTTTTTTTTTTCTCTCTCTCTCTTTTTTTTTTTTTTTTCTCTCTCTCTTTGGGTTTTTTTTTCCTCTCTCTCTCTTTGGGTTTTTTTGTTGTTTTTTTTTTCTCTCTCTATCATTATGAACATTTGTAGATTTAAATAGCCATTTAGTTTGGTTATGGATATATAGTTAAAATTAGAAGTGATAATTCAAGAATTTAGTCAGTATCAGGAAGAATTTACTTCTCTTAAAGGTGCTGCTCAAAATTTTCATTTTATTTTTTATTAGGTACACTTTTTTTGTTGGATTTTAATAGAGAAATTTCTGGAGGATTTTTCTTTGTAAATAAGTAAAGATTATTAATTCTCTTAGTGGAATAACAATCTCAGATCAAGAGTTAGGCTTCCTTTGAATTGTTAATATTATTAAAGTACTGATTTGTTTGTATAGTAAACTCTTTAATTTTTACATTTTTAACTCCATCTTTGTCAAGCCCAGTTCATTGCATATACAAACCATTTCTTTTATTTAAAAGTTGATTGATTTAGATGCATTCAGTGAGATTTAGTTAATAAGTCAATTGACTTCTTATTTAGAATTGCTTGTTTGATCTTGTTTATATTTGTGCTTGTCAAGAGGTTTATACAGTGAAATGGTGACATTATCAAACACACTCCAGTTCTCAAGGTTTTTAGTCTAATTAGTTAACAGAAGATTTTAAATTTTGTAGCAAATTACAGTTTCTCTTCCAGCTTCTCGTTTCCCAGTCAACTTTGATCTTCAAAAATTTAAATGCAATGTCAAGTGTTGTCTTCTTAATTCTTCTTCTTTTATTGTCCTCTCTCATTAATTTTTTTTTTTTTTTTACCTGTATTCTCTTACATTCAGTAATCCCTTGTGCCTTAGTGGCTTTATTGCTTTGCCTGAGGTGAAATGATAAAAAACAACAAAACGCCACTTTATTAAGCAAACCATTGGTGTTAATTTTATTTTGTAATAATTATTAACTTCATTTGTTTGTATGATTTGTAATGCCTTAGCATTATGAATAAAAAGTACTTGTATTGTTTTGAAATAATTCTATTTGTATGATTTTTAAATATCATTTCATGTAATTGATGTCTCTAGAACTTCTATAACTGATGAATGCATTGTTTACAATTTTAAGATTTTTTATCTATTCTGCTCTCTGTATATCCATAATGGGCATTTTTGATATAACGGGACTTTTGCCAAATTCTAAATAAGATATAAATTCTTACATTCTTCATAAAGTAATTTTTGAAAATTTTGTATTCTTACATTTAAATAGAAATTTGTGATGTATACCTCACAAAGAGGCTCCAAATTATTTTTTGTATAATTCTCTTTAGTTTTGAAAAATATTTGGAGATGGAATGTTTTCAAAATATTTATTGGATGTGTCATAAAATTGCTGTTTTTTTTTTTTTTTTTTTTTTTCTTCCTAACACAATGTTGAACTGTTTTGGTTAAAATTAAATAAATTTCTGGGAAAATTTGTCAAATTTCAACCAAGTTAAAATGATAGCAATGCGAATTTAAGCTTTGTATTGAGTTCCTTTTCTGTTTAATTAATCTTTACTAAATCAAATTTAGTATTGATTCTCTAAATTTGTCTGAATCCACATTGCCTTACAAACTGAGCAAATAATTATGAGATACCAAGGAAAAGTTAAATTTCCCAACATTAACTTCTTTTTCTTTGTTTTCTGAAGCTTCAAATCAACTATGCCCCCTGCATAAACCAATGGAAATAATTATCATTCCTATATCTGTAATTTTTGATGTCTAAATGTCTGATTTTTTTTTAAAAATTGGTATGAAATTTCCAAAAACAGCTTTCATATTCTCTTGTCTATTCTGTTTGGTTGTTTGTAGACAACCTCATTTTTGAAGCCATGTGTTGGTTTTGAATATTAATATTTATTTAATAATTTCTGATTCTGCTTTGTTTTTTTGTTTTTTTCATATCTTGATTTGTCTTGATATTCAATTTTTGAACCCTCTCTGTCTGCACAGGTCATCATGAACAGTTACGATGGGCAGATGGACTTGTCTGGCAAGTTAATAATCAAAGTTCAATTGGGAGATGATATTCGACGTATCCCCATCCACAATGTGGATATTACCTACGATGAACTTGTGCTTATGATGCAACGTGTCTATCGAGGTAAACTGGGTTCCAATGATGACATCACAATCAAATACAAAGATGAAGGTCAGCATCCATTTTCTTTTTCTTTTCTTCTTTTTTTTTTCCATACTCCTATCTTTTCTGTTTCATGCCTCTGAATATTCTATGTCTATAAAAGTCGCTGAATTTCTGCCATGAAGTATTTTATCATTCTTATTCAATTGTGACCATCTGAGAATTATTAAAAGGTAAGAAAAATAAAATGAAAGACTAGACAAAATTTAATTTTGCTTTTTTTTTTTTCTTTTTCTTTTTCTTTTTTCCTTTTCTTCCTCCCCCCCCCTTTTTTTTCTACATCTATAAAAGTCCCTGAATTTCTGCCATGAACTATTTCACATTCTTATTCACTTGTGGTTGGGATAAATGTACCAATTGTGATAAATATGGTCACTTTTCAAAAGTATGCAGGTTGAACTCAAAAATTAAGACAGTTCTTGAAGTGATAAAGTTTATTTCCAATATTATAAGTAAGAATAAACTAATGGGCAAACAAAATTGACGCCAAAATTCAAGTAAAGATAAATGGAATAGAATTGATTATGGAGACTGACTCCGGAGCTGATGTAAATATAATAGATTCCAAGAATTAATAAAAAACACAAACCAAATTATTTGCATATATAGGTAGTACCCCACTGAAAGCATTGAATGTACACATAAGTTACATGTTGCTGATTTTTAATGTGGTTGAAGGTAGTAAAGGGTCCTTAATTACTTCACAAACAGCACTAGACATTGGTGTATTAAAATTTATTAAAAAGTTTATCATCAATGCTTGCAGGGATAATTTGCTTACAAAAAAAAAAAAAAAAAAATACTATCTTTTTCATGGAATAGGCAAAATGAGGGATGTATAGGTCAAACTACACATAGATAAAAATGTTAAACTGATCTCCCAACCTTATTGGTATGTTCTGTTTCCTTTAAGAGAAAAAAAGTTGAAGAACTACGTCTTGAAGCTGTGGGTATAATTGAGAAAGTTGATGGACAAACTGATTGGGTCTCACCTATTGTTATTGTTCCTAAAAAGGACTGTGATATTAGACTTTGTATAGATATGATTCAACCAAATAAAGCAAATATTCCTCACTGGGTTCTGGCAGATAGCCGATATAACATTGAGCATCGATCATAAAAATCAGTAAATTCTATTTCTATAAATTTGAATGTGTTCAGACATATTACTTGATTCATATAAATATCTATATATGATGCCGTCCTGGGTATGATGATAAACTATGTCCAACAACAAGGCCTCTGATCAGGAGGTTTTGAGGAGCGTGGAACCACCTTTAAATTGATGGTGTTCTCAGATTCACCCTGACCTGTGGTGGTAGCACCTGTTAGGCCCCCAGCTATGGGCAAATAAGTAACCCACAAACTGGGGTAAAAACACTATGAAAGTGTAAAAATAGGTTTTAATACCAGAAATACTTTGTAAAAAAATTGTTAACAGCAATGACTTTTTGAAGGAAAAAAATATTACCAGCAATACATTTTTGAAAAAATATTACCAGAAATAGATTTTTGAAGAAAAAATATTATTACCAGCAATAACAATCTTGTCGGCATTAAATAACCCATTGAGATTGATATGCCGTAAAACAAACCAATCCAATCTAAACTGTATATGATATTACAGTTTATAATGTATCTGTATATGATAATATTTCATTCATAGATTTCCATTTTACTTTCTAATAAATTTCTTGGTTATCATTCTCTCACATGTGTGTGTGTGTGTGTGTGTGTGTGTGTGTGTGTATATATATATATATATATATATATATATATATATATATATATATATCACTCACATATTTCAAAATGGCTTCTTCACTTTCCATTTTAACAGGAAAACTCCAAAACTGTGTTAGAGATTCATGATTATGTCCATATGTATTTTTTTCCTCCGGTTTAAATTGTTGTTTAGTGAAACTTGTCATTTTTTTTTTTTTTTTCTTTTATTCTAGACGGAGACCTTATCACTATATTTGACAGTTCAGATCTTTCATTTGCCATTCAGTGCAGCAGGATTTTGAAACTCACTCTTTTTGGTAAGTAGGAAAAAAATGGGTTCTTTGCAGTTTACATAAATAGCACAATAGTTTTTCATTTTTCTTGAGTCTTTAAATAGAGTGAAATATTAGGAGGCTCTTATATTATGCATAAAAATCAACACTTCATGGTGACTGGCAGTTTCAGGTTTTAAGCAGTCATCAGAATATATGTTGCTCTTTGTGTAGGTACTCTTTATCTATATAATCTGAATTAAGATGTAAAATAATTGCTTACAATAGTTTAACCAATTTGGCTCATCAGGTATTAAGTGTTGAATGATTTTGCTAGGGAAAATATATATACATACACACACACACACACACACACACACACACACACACACAAATACATATCTAATGACAAAAAAAAATTAAACCTTTTGCTTATTGCAAAAAAAAAAAAAAAAACTTTCAGCATTATCACCAACACAATAAAAAAAAATCAAATCATCAACAACTAATGTTTTCCCTGATTTTCCTTGCCCACTTGGAGAAGGTTTGACTAATAATAATTTAATTGACATGTACATTAGTTGTACATTATTACACCCATTAGCATACACATAAAACAAACAACCCATCATCAATAAAAATTTTATCAAATTTTGGGACAAACACACTAGATATTTCATTGGTCAGTTTATGTTAATGTAAAGATGTAGGAAGAACAGGAAAATGGTCCTAAATATAATAAAATTAAATTTGAAAAATCCTTAAGTTTTTTTAAGGATCTTCACTCAAACTACACACACACCGCTGGGGAGGTTATGGAAAGTTGGGAAAAAAGGGGTAAACTTGTTTTTCTCCATTTCTTTTTTTTTCCCATTTTCTCTTGATCTTGTTGATTTTTAATTTAATTTTATTTGTTTATTATTTTTAACATTATTTTTGTATACTCTATTAAGCTCTAAAGTTTGGTCTGATGATTATTTAAGTTGTGAAACTACCATTCTCTATGCAGTATTAATTTCTATCCCCCACACTGTTTATATGTATAAATGTTCTGTCCCTGATATTGAACCATTTCCTATAAATACAGCAAATTTTCAACAATACCTCTCTCTCTCTCTCTCTCTCTCTACATAATAATATCTTATATTTGAAATGAGTCAACAGCAATGAGTGTTTACCATGAGATCTTATCTATTCTGCAATTTGTTATTAAAAGTCAGATTTGCACTTGGAAATCATCTGTTGGAGATCTTTCAGTTGTAATAGAAGCATTTGGTTTTAGTGTCCAGATATTTCTGGATAATTGGTCTGAATAGTACAGGACACAAAAGCAGTTTTCTTTGGTCTCTCCAAATTCTTGAGAGCACTTCCCCATTGTCATGTGTCACTTAGCCACTTTGTGATACAGGACATATGAAACTGGACAATTTTTGCCTCGAAGCCCACATTCATGTAACAATCCATAATTAAATCTGACCTTGTAAAATGAACCCTTCCAACAACTTTTCAAGTAAAATTTTATGTATCAGTGTAAACTGCCCCTAAAAATATCATTTTAGATATAGCTAAGCATTAGAGCATAGGCTGAAAGATCGGAGGTCCGTGATTTTTGCCTTTGCTTTAGAATCTGAAGATAGAACATAGGCTGAAAGACCAGAGGTCAGTGATTTTTGCCTTTGCTTTAGCATCTAAGGATAGAGCATAGGCTGAAAGATTAGAGGTCACTATAAAACCATTAGAAGAACCTTTCCACCTTCAGTGTCCAATTAAAGGCTAGTAAAATCTGTTTCTCAATGTCAACCAATTGGGCATTATTCACTCATTACAGGTGGTAATTTTTAGCACCCACTTCTAGATCAGTTGGAAAGAGGTGTAATAAAAACATTAAGCATACTGTCATGCTTCTCACAATGGTAATCCTTACTGTTTCCTTATAAGGAAACATTTGTCATTCATTAACCAAGTAGCTAGTTACTTGAGCATCTAATTGTGTTATGGTTTTCTTTACTATTTGGCCACTGGGCTGGAATCAAAGTCTAGCATCTGCCTTGGAGTCAGCAATGAAGGACCAGGAGGTCTGGGGTAGTATTGTGGACTCCATGATCTCGACTGCAGTCAACACATGATGATCTGCCTTCTGATGGACAAACTACATTTTATCTCTCAATTGTGTTTTTGTCTTTGGACAGAACACATAAATGACAGGTGCCTGGTCCTGGGGATTCCAACCCCATAGCAGCACCTCCCAAAAAAGGGAGGGTCTGTGAAATTTCAGCACTAGTGCTACATTGTTGCATGTTTCAGGCCTTAGCCTAGATGTACATGCTTGGTCTCCCTGTTTTAAACTGGCCTTGTGCCATATCTTTTCACTGTAAGGAGACATGTAAATACTATGTATAGTATCTATTCTCATCTCTAATGGCAATATTAGCTTGTTTCCTTATATGGAAACATTCGGCATTCATTGGCTGATCACTTAGTCCAGCTTTCAGTTGAAATTTATAAAATCTTTCTATTCAAATAATTTTTCAGGAAAATAGGTTTCTCAAATCCATTGTTATTACTCTTTCCAGTATTGATAGGGGTTTCCTTCCTAACTCTTTGTTCGAAGTAGTGTGGAATATCAACATCTTTCTCTTAGAATTATTGCTGCTATTGAAAGTCCTCAAGTGATGTGGTTCCTATTATTTGGTACAATTCTTTGTGATTCTGTAGTGCCAGTCCATGATTCAAAGAAGGATGGTCCTCGCTAAGATTCACAGGCTTCATTAACTGGAAGCCATCTTTAAACATTGATATGGAAAGTGGTTGTATACTAAAAGTGTGCAAGATTGGCAAGCCATATGGCTTTATTTCCTGGTTGAACTACTTGTGTATTTCTCATTAGTACTAGTTTTTGAGACCAGATAAAATCCTAGACTTTTTTAAATACTGATTTTCAAAATAGGGAAAAATTTTGAAGACGGATATATAACAATCTTCTATCTAGTTGCCCTTGTGTCATACTCAGCTAAACTTCATAAGAATCCATTATAAACATGAAAATTTATTTTATTTTATTTTTTTCTCTTATTTTTAGTCAATGGTCTTCCACGGCCATTAGAGAGTGATGAGGTGAAATACATTCGACGAGAACTCAAGGAACTAAGAAATCGCATTAATCATCTGTTAGACATCTTGGAACCACCTGCCACAGGTGTCTCTGATGAAGGAGATACTGCCATGCGTGAGTACCATATTTTAGCCTACAATTTTTGTGTAAACATTAATTTCTATTTAGTTGAGAAAAGAAACAAACTCATTATTAAAGATTAGTCGAATTTAGTGTTTGCGTGTCAAGTGTAAAACAGCTTGTTTTAAAACGATTCGTCTTGTTGGCACCAATGACTGAATACTCACACACACACACACACACACACCTGTTGCAGCATTCAGCCGGCTCTGTCAATCAGAACGAAAACTGACCAAGCATAGCAGATGTCGTATTCATTTGGATATGTGAATCCACAGTGGGAATTTGGATTCGCAAGCAGTCCCCATCCTTGTGTATGCACACTTTTAGGATAGTACAATTCGGTTTGAATTCAGTTTCCTTCTCCTAGACTGGTTACCACTCTAGGCTATAGGACCCAGTCTATCCTGCTATTTTATCCATAGCAGGCTGGAGAAGAGATGGATTCATACCATTTCCAAGGGTATTAGAATGTAATGAACTTGACTGGAATTTGAACACTCTCTCTCTCTCTGATTCTCTCTCTCTCTCTGATTCTCTCTCTCTCTCTGATTCTCTCTCTCTCTCTGATTCTCTCTCTCTCTCTGATTCTCTCTCTCTCTGATTCACTCTCTCTCTCTCTGATTGACTCTCTCTCTCTCTCTCTCTCTCTCTCTCTCTCTCTGATTGACTCTCTCTCTCTCTCTCTCTGATTGACTCTCTCTCTCTCTCTCTCTCTGACTCTCTCTCTCTCTCTCTCTGATTGACTCTCTCTCTCTCTCTCTCTCTCTGATTGACTCTCTCTCTCTCTCTCTCTTGACTCTCTCTCTCTCTCTGATTGACTCTCTCTCTCTCTCTCTCTGATTGACTCTCTCTCTCTGATTGACTCTCTCTCTGATTGATTCTCTCTCTCTCTCTCTCTCTGATTGACTCTCTCTCTCTCTGATTGACTCTCTCTCTCTCTCTGATTGACTCTCTCTCTCTCTCTGATTGACTCTCTCTCTCTCTCTCTGATTGACTCTCTCTCTCTCTCTCTGATTGACTCTCTCTCTCTCTCTCTGATTGACTCTCTCTCTTTCTCTCTCTGTCTATCATGGGTAAGAATAAATTTTGCTGTATTTGTAAAATGTGATAAGAGAGGAATGAAATATTTTAGATGTAAAATTACTTTGATCAATTCAGATTTTTTTTTTTTTTTTTTTGCTCCTACCTTTGAACATGGGAGACAATGAAACTGGATTTTTAATTAAAGAAAAAGAAAAGAGACTTTAAAAAATCCCCCCCCCCCAAAAAAAAAAAAAATGTACCACAAAATATCAATTTGCCTACTTAAACTAGTCTTCATTGATTAATTCAACAATCTTATGTATAAAAAAAAAAAAAAAGAATAACAAAAATGAAGACATACTCCTTGAAGATAGAATGAATCAGAAATGTGGCAGGACCTAAAATATTAAAATCTGAAGTAAGGTGTTACTGAGCAAGATGGAATGGTAAAATGGATACTTATCAGCCTTAGATGATTTTGGGATTAACAAGATTACAGATATATATAAATGAAATATTGCAGTGTCAACCTATCTGATTAAGAAGCTAGGTGCAAATGGATGTAAACTCGATCAGACAATCCTCCCAATAAGCCATGTAACTAAGTTTATCATCTCAGTTCTGATGAATGGAGTACAAATAGGCTGGAAATAGGACAAGAACAGTATAGTTTAAGGATACTGGAACAAGAAATGCAATATTTATGATCAGAATGGAACCAGAGCAAGCAATAGAAATAAATGTATCCACATGTTTTATAGACTGCAAAAGCATTTGATAAGGTGCAACATGAACATCTATTTGAACTGTTAGGAAAACTAGGGAAAACTATTTCAAAATATTTATAGAGTACATATCAATCCTCCTATATGGCAGTGAATGCTGGACACTGTGCTCCTTGCAGATGAAAAAGAGATTTGAGGCAACAGATGTGGTTCTACAGAAGGATGCTGAGATTACCATTAATAGAACATGTGAGCAATGAAATTTTAAGGAAAATGAAAACAAAGTTCACTTCTGAGACACACTGAGAAAAAAAGGCTTGAAAATTTGACACTCACAAGACACATTGAAAACAATAGGGACAAAGGAACATGGTGAGTAATCTACCTAATGAATTGCAAATAGATTGCAAAATGGTCTGTGGCAGGGATATTAAAATGACAAACATTGCTAAGAGCTAGAGAGGATAGGAAATTGTGGTGAGCTATGATCTCTTGTGTTTTGAAGAGACGTAATACACAAGAGGAAACTTCTAGTTTTTAAAGCTGCTTTTAACCCTTTACCATTCAACTTGCCCCGTAAATATCTGGTCTTCATGTTAAACCTGCCATAACCAGCTCCATGTATACTCTGCCATAATATGACAACCTTATTGCAAATAATGCAGGAAGTCATGCAAACCATGAGACTTTGATCACAGATATTTATAGGTCAGCTTTGTGCTTGTTGAATAATAGTGTTACTGGATGCAAAAACAATTAGAAATGTTTAATTAAAAATTTGAAAGGAAATAAACAAGAACTGGCTGAAATTTTATATTATGTAAATTATAAATGATTGTACCTATTTAAAGAATTAATACTTGTGAAATCTGGATGCTTTCAATTCCTACAATTGACTCAAGGCAAAAGAATTCTTAGAGGAAGCAAACTATATGCTTATTCTTATTGAGTTTTTTTGTTTTAGCAAACTGTTTTCTGCACTGTGAATAGTGCAACTCAATTGCTACAAATTTGCCTAAAAAAATTCCTCACTTGTGTTTCATGCTTGTTCTTTATTTTAGTCTGTGACCAAACAAGATGTACATTTTTCAGAAACAAATTTTATTTTGAAATGTTTTAATGTTTTCTGGCATGAAACTCCAAAACAAACAAGTCAGCTTGGATATCTTGCTAATGATATGATAATGATCTTTATTGATTGTTTCACAAGATAAAGATTTTCAGCAGTTTAGGTTGTTGGAGGTCAGCCTTATTGTGGCTTTTGTTCAAGTGACATTTCACAGTGATTGAAATGCAGATACTAGTCATGTGTTTTACATAGATTTTCTTCCTGAAAATCTTCTCTAAGCATTAGGACAGTTTCAACAGCAGTTTTCCCTTCAAGTAAAAAACACACAAATGCACACGCACATATGCGGTTATTTTTTTTTTTTTTTTTATTAGCTATAATGAAAATTGCTAAATGTACAAGCAAGCCTGAGGAGGAAAAAAAATAAATTAATTTATTCAGAGCCACACCATGCGGTAAACTTATTCAGAGTAGTTGACTTTTAATGCCTAAAAATGTAATGGCAGTCTCTTTGTAGTTTGCTGTTTTTTGTCTTATTTTGGTCCCCATTGTATATTCTAACCTTCTAAAGACTTATGCAGTATTTGATAATCTTCAAATATTGTTTGGTATTTTTGGATGTGTCACTGATGCTACAGTTTGTACAATTATCAATTCAATGATTAACTTTTTCAACTGTATTTGAGTTTTCTACAGTATAAAAGCCAGGCTAGTCCTGTTATCACCATTTTGTTTTTATTTATTGGGTCACCATAAAAGGTGAACCATCTTGAATTGCAAGTATTGGAATTTTTTAAGCCTTAGCCATTCATTTCCACTTTCATAGAAATTATTTTAAGCTATCTGCTGCTTGCTTTTATGTATGAATCCAAATTTGAAGTAAATTTTTTTTTTTTTTTTTCTAAATCAGAATAATAATTGTTGTTGGAAATTGTGCCATGTCCTTAAATATAGGTCATCTGTAATTTAAGACAAAGAATTCTGCCAATATAAGTAACGAAGATGTGTGTAGTGAAGGTGATAAAAAATAGAAGACAATTGAATGTAAATTTTCAGGTAATTTTATAAGACAAGAAAAACACTCACTTTGAAAAGCTGCTGTTTAAAGCATCAGATGAAATAAGGCAATATTGTTTGTTTTGTTTTTTTTAACTTGACAGTGTGAGAAATAAATTTGATTTCCCTCTTCAGATCATCCTTTAACTGAAACAAAACCAGTATCCTTTTTACATTAACAGCTTTTTTTTTTTTTGTAATTTGCAATTATGACCTTGTTCTTCATTTCACATTTGTACATTGCAGACACACAATTCCAACTGGCTTAAATTTTTGTGCTGCTACTTCAGCTTTCCATTATATCTGAACTTTTTCATTACTTTTGTTTGGCCAAACTTTTTATGTGACAAAATTTTGACTGTCATTTGTCACCTTGAGGGGATATAGTATGTCATCCTTTATACTTATAGAAGTTCCTTGTCCTAAAATTTGTTTTGTAAACTATTTGTAATTATGGAATTCAAATTTTTTTAAATTTGAATTCTTACTTTTGACTATCATTTTATAGTTTTGTGTTTAAAAATAAAAGAAACTCCACATTTTATTTATTTATTTTTCCTTTTTCCTTAGAAAATGGTGATCCCAAAAGTAAACGTCAAACTAGTATCAACTGTGGCCCAGCAGCTGGAGTTGCCCACAGCAAAGAGTTTGACCCTTTATCAGCTCAAAGACCCAATGAGGAAAATACACAAAACAAAGTGATGTCATCTTTTGGCCTTTCTTCTGATGGTAGGTTACCATTTGCAATCTTGATCTGTTTTGTAGCTTGCCAGAAAAGTAAAATTATTCAAAATTTCCAGGTTCATTTTTTATCCTCCCCCCACCCCCTTGAAAAAGAAAGAAACAGTGTCATTATTATTATTATTATTTTTTTTTTTTTTTTTTTTTTTTTTGGAAGCAGTGAATATCAAATTCCCAATCCCCCCTCCCAATAACAAAAACAACTTAAATGCTAGTAAATAAGTTTGGTTAGAATTCTTTATTTGACCATTGATTCATTTGATTTGTTGTACAAAAGAATGAACCCAAATCTCCCTGCACTATCACCTTTAGTTCTCATGTTACTGGTATGCCACAATCAGACAGAGTGTATGAGGGTAATGCTGTGTAGTTCACTTGTAATTGTCTGCACAAAAATTGATCTTAATATATTTTGGAAGTGAGTAAAAGCTAGCCTGTCTTTAGAAAGATCTGTTTTTTATTGTGATTTTTTTCTTTCTTTCTCTTTTTCTGCATTACTTCATTTCACAGATGCAGAAAGTTTCTTTTGTCTTTGTTATATGGGTAGGTGTCCCAAAATATCTAGGCTCCTCAGACATTGCTGCAGACATTAGGGCATATACCTGATACCTACCTTTATTAACTTAATGGAGAGGTTCTGAGAATTGGTCCCCATTCTCCAAGCTAATTTTTTTTTTTTTTAATTATTCTGTAATTTAAAGGTGTTGGGAGATAGAGAAAGGAATAAAAATTGAACCCATACTCCTCCACCATTCAATATGGTTGAACACTTAACCTTACAGTTTCTATTTTTATGCAGTTCTTTTCTCATGACTTTGGGCTGCATCATTTTTGTCACCAAGAGAATTCCATTTCCTTCCTGTTTGTGCATTAATTCTACCCCCAAATTTCTGGCTACCAAGAATTAAGTTTAAATTTTCAGGAATTAAGAGCCAGTCTCTCACTATAAAAACTCAAAATTTTACAAAATCAAAAGATTATACAAGATCTGTTAGTAGTGCAGGCATTTGCTGTGTGTGTATATATATATATATATATATATATATATATATATATCTTAAGATGTGCTATATTTATGGGATAAAGGGCTCAATATCAGAGATAGAGCGTGTGTAAATATAAAAGTGAACATAGTCAACACTTAGAGGTGACAGTCTGTTTCATGCTAGATGCAATCGTCAGGCCACATACACACACACACATATATATATATATATATATACACACACATATATATATATATATATATATATATATATATATATATATATATATATATATATATATATATAAAATAAACAAAAATTACCTCATAAGTGGAATAGCCTAACTACCTCTATATCTTATATTACTAGGATCCATTTGGATTATATACCAATGGATTTGTTATATATATAATCTGACACCTTTGATATGTATTTGATGCAATACTTGATTGAATATATTGTTGAGCAGAATTTATCATTGATATGACAGCTGAATTGTTGCAACAAATATATATTGCAAAGCATTATCCACTGATTGTTGATTTCTTGCTCAGCTTGATGTCCATATTGTCACATTTTGATCTTGCCAATATGACCTCCATCTTCTGGCTTTCTCCTTCTATATTTTGGATAGGAGTCCTTCCATTGTTCAAATTTAAATTTAAGGGGAAAAAAATTCAGTGGGATGTTTGTGTTATTTTGTTATATATATATAGGCAGCTTATTTTCAATTAAACATGTCTGATTAAACAATTTAGACATGTTGCATTTATTTATTCTCAATGATATCCTTGTGTAATCCTGTATAAGCTTTGTGGTTTCATAATACCTTCTTTGCTCTTATTAATCAGGAAACAACAAAGCTTATATGCGATTGTGATCATGAAAGGATATTGTTGAGGATAAACAAACACGTCTAAATTGTCTAATCAGACATGTTTGTTATATATATATATATGTGTGTGTGTGTGTGTCAAATATGTGGTGCAGTTCAAATTTTTGGAGCGTGCAGTCGCAACTCTAAGGTTGAATTTTTTTTTTTTTATATAGGAGTTTATCAGTTAATGTGGCATGAATTAAATAGTTCAATAAGTAGAGTAATGTCTCGGTTGTTATCCCGAAAATTTGCACGTTGGATCAGTTTTTTTAAAAATCAAATCAACTGATTGGTAGGTTAATGCATCTTTAAAATTTTGGTAGTGAAGTGATTTTGCCATTTTATATCATTAATGATGACAGAAATATACATTTATTAATTTCTCTCTGTTATATGTATGGAACTCTTTAACGAGCTGGCCATATGAAATTGGGGGGGGGGAAAGGAAATTAGTCTAAGTCACTGTAAATCTCACCATTTATTCACAGAAACATATAATATATAAATCATGCACTGTTTGTTATTCCCAAGGGTTACAATTTATGGTAATACTTAGTAAATTCGTTATCATTTTGTAATTGTAGAAAATTCACAAAATCTTCAACCATTACACTTGGAAAATAGTAAATGTTTGTATTTCACATCAAATCTGTTTCTATGAATGTCTGCGAGTTTCTGTATTTGGGAATAAATATTTGATTGCTTAGATTATGGCGAATGTTTAATTTTAAACATAATCTTTTTGACAAATGGTTTCCTTTTTGACAAATGGTTTCCTCAAAGAAAGAAAAAAAAAAATTGATAGCAAATGAGTTGTTTGTTTGTTTTCTGGTGGAGTCATTTCATAATATATAGACAAAGTGATTGTCAAATTCCTTGATGTTTCTCCAAGACCAGGAGAAAGACAACTTGAAAGCTGAACAAACTGAACAGCTTTAACTTCAGGATAGCACCTCCATATAATTGTTTTGATTTTATTATTTTTTATATGTTGTCTTCTTCAGTCACTTAATTTCAAATGTTCTATTGTTTGTCATCATCATAATACAACTGATTTGAAATTAGTTTTTTTTTTTCTTTTAATTTCTTCAGCCTGTCTATTTTGAAAGTTTAGCAAGCATGAGGATTGCATAATGGTTACTAGTATGAGAAAAAAAAAATGATCTCTTCAGAGTTTGAATTTCAACTCAGCTGAGGCTATTTAATGCCCTTGGGAAAAGCATGAATTCATATCTCCCTGCATTTTGTCCTATCACCAGATATTTAGTCTGATCAGTTTGATAAGATCAAATTGGCAGCTGGTTTCAAAAGTGACCTAAAATCTGTTGTTGATCATGCAAGGCTTTTTAATTTTAATGCTTCCAAAACAAAACTGCTTTCTATGTCCCCTGACATAGTGAAAAGATTGCGAGGAAAATTAGTTCACTGTGTTGTGCTAGACAATTTTTCTCTCTAAAATCTATTTGCCATTCATCCATACTTAGAATGTTACTGCTGCATAGGGTCTGGTTGTCCTGCTCTATATTTAGAGATTCTTGATAAAATCCAAAGACGAATCTGCAATGTTTTTAGTCCTGACCTGGTATCCTAGCTTCAATCACTTTCCCACGACCATAATGTAGTTTCTTGTACCTTTTCTAATATAATATTTTCATGGTAATTCTTCTGTTGAACTTTCCTCTATGATGCCTAGTCTTTATTAATTTAAGTGCAGTACTAGATTGGCAGCTAGGTCTCATCATTTTACAGTTGAATTGGCTAGATGTGGATTTTGTTAACAGTTTTTCTTGCACTTATCACCTGTAGAATGCTCTTCAAGCTTCTTACATTCCAGCCAAATTTGATCTTCAAGAATTTAAATTTTATTTTATCTAGTTATGGATGAATTGTTTAACCAATTGTTCACATTGGTTAAACCACTCATCCATAACTACCTTACCATCCCAGACAGTAGCAGCAAAAACTTTTTTTTTTTTTTTTTTTCAAGGCCCAGGAGCCACTTGTGTTAGAGGGTTACAGTGTAAGAGGTAAGGGGCACAATATCCGCAGAAGGTAATGATTAAGCCTCAACTTGAACAGTTTAACATTATAGTGATTAGGGAAACCTCCTCTTGGTAGTTAAGTGGTGCATGACATGGTTGGTCTTAGTTGTAATGGTTAGAACTGGTGGAACTAAGGAATGTAATTGGTTTGAATATTTTCCATGGCAATAGTGATAATAGTGGAAGATTTGCAGTGTTTCATCTGTGGGAAAAGAAGTTGTAGTATGGAAAATAATTCATCACCCACAAGGTCGTGTAGATGTTTTTTTTGGACTCTACTGAAACTGGAAAGTAAAGATTCGGCAACTCCTGTCCATATATGGCAGCAGTACTCCTTTTTTTAAGCCTGTTCTGATGCTTGTAAAGGTAGAGAATAGAGTAGGAGTCAGATGTTTCTGTTCTATAGTCAACAAAGATGGATGAAACCTCCTGTCTTATGAATATTGATTGCCTGCTTTGATCTCTGTATCCATAAGTAAACCAAATTTCAGTTTTCAATTAATTGGTCAAATCATTGGTAGTAGTCTGAAGTAATGCACTTTCCAAAAAGAATAGTGCAACTGTCTTAGGTCATGCTTCCTTGGAAGACTTAAATAAGGCTTCTTTGATGCTATAATTTCTTTCTCTGCAGTCTTCATGAGCATTCATTGCACCTGGCAGGTCTTCTGGTTTGCATCTTGTATCTTCACATGATTGTTGACCAACAAGGGGACTAATATTGCTTGTTCTCTTTCTGTCATATCTGAGTCTGAACTATTCAGCCAAGGGATTTAACTCGCAATTACTATACGATTAATTTCATGATACTGGCTACTTTGCTTCACTTGAGCCAGAGAAGATCACCATTAGAATTAGACCATGGAATACTGGAATTATTTTGTTTAAACAAGTTTCCAGTTTTTTAGAATTTGTGTAAAGAAGAAACCACATAAGATTAGATATCGTCATCGGCATCTGTCCGTCTCAAGAGACGATGGAGCCACGTGGTGCGCTACGAGCCTGGGCGGAATATATGGAAAACTAGGGCTGCCTGGATGTCTAGTTTCCCCATCTCGGCCTTGCTAGCAGAGGTCCAAAGGAGAG